TACGTTTCCGAATTAGACCAATCCAGATACCTATCCTTCCATAATAAACTTCTGAGCCATCCGAACCCTCTTGTTTCCAATCTTGCTTCTTCTATTTCTGATAACCCTCTGAGGTGCCTGAAAATATTATAGCATCGAGATCTTCTAATATAGAACTTTAATTTGAGTTCTACCAATGGGTAGTTTCTCTTCATGTTACAATTGTCACATTTACTCGTTGTATTTTCCATGTAATAAAGTTGTAAATTTCATTCAAAAAAATATATATACATAGAGAGAGAAAAGAAATATTTTATGGAATATTACTTTGATTACTATTTCAAACAAAATAACCCCTTAAAATGGAGATTTACTTTTGATAAGCTTGAAAGAACGAATCAACTGTAACAAAATTTTATGTTTACTACAAAATACTTGACTTTTTACAAAATTCAGAAAGGAATGTATCTAAAGTAGCTTGTTAAAATAAAATAAAAAAATCATAATATTTTTTCTAAAAAATAATAAAAATCATGACCTATACGCTCACTGATAACCAAGAAACTTGAGTCTTAACCTCCATGAAATGCTAGTTATTGCATGGTAAGCCAGGGTGAAACAGATACGAAAACACTAAAAAGACTATACCTGTAATCAAATTGACTAGTTCTTGGTTTTTTGTGTCTACGAGCAAGGAGTGTATTACACTTGCCCGTTGAGAAATCAAAGGTGGTCAGGTCGATGGAATCACTAATAGCGCGAACCAGCTGTGGTTTGCTGTCGTATTTCTGTCCATCAGGGCTGCAATCACACACACCCTTCCATTACCCCCATAACCCAAATTCCACTCTTAATAAAATACAAATTTCATGCTTAACAGTTTATTTAGCCGCTATATTTGAAAAGATTCAATCAATCAAGACACAGAGGAATTATCTCAATAACTGGCTAAAATACATTCACAATATAATTGTACAAAATTCTCAATTAATTTAATATAATAGATATTTACTAATTTAAAACACACATGAAAACAACTCATGCAAGACAAGACTACATACAATATTGAAATGATGGACCAAAAAAGAGAATTAATTCAAAAACACAAACAAGATATGAAGTAAAACACATAAATATGGTAAAGAGCATCACATGTTCTATTTTTTATAACATACTAAATACCTCATCCAGTAAATTTCAGACAGTACTTTTATAAACAGAAAGACTTAATTATTTTTAATTTTGATGAGATTAGGTCTTTACTGAAATCCTATATAAAAACATAATAAAGCCACTAAGAACCTCACCAATATTCATAGATAAGGAATGTAACAAGATATTGTCGTCCTATAAGAATTTATATTTACTTAAAAACTGGTTTCGATCCACTGGAAATCCATCTGATTAAAATAATAAAACTATACTTTCCATGACATCATTTTTGTGATTAAGTCTCTTCTGGAGGTACAATGGAGTATACTTTGTACTGGAGACCACAATTTATAAACTTTTAAATGGTTTTTATTTTAAAATTTTTTTTTTAAATAATAATAAAATAGGTTCAATATCAATACTTCCAATCGCTGTCAAAATACTTTTATCAACCGGCCACCAACCAAATCCAGCCAGATCAGTCTTAACGCAATCCTCTCATCTTCACTTCAACCTAACCTTCAAACGCTCACCAGTCAGCACAGCGTTAATTAACATTTCGGGAATTTTTCCCTAACTAAGCTCGACAATTTTACATGCTCATTTAATACAAAGCAATGTTGTCATCTCAATTATACTAAACGGGTATATATCACGCAATTAGGCCTTATATAACTGTCTAAATTCTCTGATAAACTCGTCCTTCTTCGGTCGAAATATTCTACGTAATATTTGATTTTGAAAAACAATAATTCGTTTTACTTTTCTAAAAATACTTTCAGATTTATGTATATGAGAGTTATAAATTTGCCAATTTCTTTTATATACATAGTTTAGTAACTGGATTTAAACAATTGAGTTTCATTCAATAAAATACTATTAAATCTAATGGCACCCCCAAACAAGTCCTCAATTAAGTTTCAGTTGAATAACATTATTAATTTTTACAAAACCGTATTATGACATAATTATGTACCACGCAACTTCCATTACATTAACATGTCCTTAATACTAAATCATAATAATGCACCATAGGAGACTAATGAAATTATGGTCTCTGAAAATTGAAAAAAAAATTGTTTTAAATAGTTTGTTATATTATTTATTATTTTAGGCGGAAAAACATCCAATGGACGAAACTATATTCGAATAAAAATTCTTACAGAGAGATACTATCTTAATATTCTCCTGATTCCAGGTTTCTGGTTCCTGTAACTTCAATTAAAGCATTCCACAACCCACATTTATATTTAATATCATAAAAATTGATAATTTTTAAATAGATTAACAAAAGAAAATTCATTTGATACCACTGAAACTCAATCACAACATTAAATGAATGATTAGTATTAGAAAAAAAATGATATAAGATCAAAATTGTTTTATTTGAAATAAAACAAAATCAGGAATAAGACAAATTTTGTTATTTGAAGACAATGACCAATGACATCTAAGTAAATATAAATGACTAATAATCACCATTTTATGAAAATAATTAAAGCGTTTGAGAGATAAATAAAAGCGGAAATTTGTCTAAGTTACTTTAACTATGAGTGAAATATCTTTATTTAAAAGTTTATATAACTACTCAAGCATTCAGAAATACTGTTATTACATATAAGCCTAAATTATGAATTACGGCCATAAATCATCAGTATTTTGATATGTTAAAAAATATTGTTTGCTAAATTTAATACTGACAGGATCAGTTTTTAAATATGTGACCATTTTTTAAATCAATTTATTATTTTTATTTGATACAGTACCAATGTATTGTATAATTTCTTTACTAGTTTATAGCTTAGTGCAAATTACTACACAAAATAAAATTAATGAATAAATAAAATAATTTAAAAGTAGATTATTCTAATAAATATTAAATATAAAAAAATACTTTTTTAATTAACGGACAATCCACTTTAATATAAAGAAATATTAGGGCAAATTAATCAAAAATTCGATGGACAAATAAACCCGGGTTTATATCTCGAGATTACGATTAAATAAACTTAATTTGTATAATAATACAAAATATTAATAGCAAAAAACAAACATATAAAACATGATTTTGAAAACCCATTTAATAAATATACACACATCTACATTTACAGATTGCACTGGGCTTCGAGAAAAATTTAAGAACCGAATGTATTATATTTATTATTATGAAACAAAATTCATATGATAGCAAGCCTGTCAGAAAAGCAAATGAAATGCTTTACTTAACAGAAGGTTCTTGAATAATGTTCGTTTAAATGAACTGTACTTTTTGAAGTAGAGCAAGGTGACAAATAGAACACCACAGATTGATAAAGGGAATATACCACACTAAGGTATGTATACAATTAATATATCTTAAAAAAGCGCGCCACTATTGACTACAGTAAATAATTAATAAAAAAAGAGGTGATAACACCATCTAATAAATCATCAACATTGTATAAAACCAGAAATCATATCAAAACAACACGGGTCAAAGAGAAATTATAATTGAGAGTTTAAAAATTAGCAAAAAACAATACATAAGATTAGTGTGTCTAAATATTTAAGTATGTTTACAGCCATGATAACTTAAAAAAATTAAAGATTGATAACAGAATGAACTTTAAAACAGTGAAATAATTAAGTCTTACAGATTAATTCAATACCCATAATGATATATTATTATCACTAATTAGATCAAAGATGTTTTGAGCGTTGTTTTATGAATAAATTTTCCGAAAATGTGAAGAATAATTACAAGTAATACAAACATATAATATTAAAAAATAACAAAAAAAAATATATACATAAAAGAGAATTCTTATGAAGAAAAATAAATTAATGAACTGACTAGAACACATCTAAAACAATGAAAATTCATGAACATAGAACAAAATAACCAACGATCAGTCAAAATGAAAGTTTTTACATACCTTATAACCTTGATTTAAGAATGAATTCATTAGATTAAATTATAAATCATACAAAATTCAATAAAAATGTTCATTTAATGTATGGTAATGAATATGGTTACTTTAGCAACATTATTAGTTTTAGCAATAATAAAGAATAAGAACTTGATCTATTAAGTTTTAAAACTTCTGAACATTCAGTATTAGGTCACTTCAGAAGTTAAAATAGACAATAATTATATGAAAACAGTTATATGGACATCAATCACAACTCATGTTGTTAACAAAACTAAAGAGCTTTCAATGCAGATTCCGAACTTTTATTGATGACAAATTATTAATACAATGGAATTCTCCCAATGCTTCAAATTTGATAAAGTTATCTTCTACCTGTAATAACAAACATCGACTTTTCCCGCTGAAAGTCCTGTTTTTCTTATAACCTCTTCTCTTTGCCAGCCTTTTGGTAATGCCAAGCATTCAAATCGCTTTTTTTCAACTGACATATTACAAAACCCTTAAAAATTAAAACTAGTGCACTCACACATAAACAACAATACACAACCTGTCACTGAAGACTTCTAATTCTTCTTCCCCAAATGTAGCCATGGCCTTTTTATTACCGGCAAAATATAAAAATTCAATCAAAATCATTCAAAGTTTAGACATTTCCTAATTGTTGTTTTCTACTTTGATATAATACTTTGGATCAATTACAATCTTTTTTAAAAAATAATTGGTGGTTCGAGAAAATTGAAAAAAAAGTATTTCATTAAAATAAGACTTTTTTACCTAATATATAGAAATTAAATATTTTTTCAAAATACAATAAACAAGTGGCTTTTTATCAAGAAAAAAATAATTGTTGCCGAACTCTTTGAATTCAATACAGATTATAGGCGCATTAAATATATAGACATATTAATGAATAATTAAAATAACCCTCTTACAATAGTAACCTACTTACTGTTTACTCTCCGAGTGAGGTTGCAAAGTTAACAAGTTTGTGGAGGTGTTTTTAAATATTTTGATGGTGAAATGGAAGGAGAACCCACTGAGTTAACTCGCAGAGAGCATATTAGATATCTTAAGCAGTTTCTAAAATTATTACCTGACACCTTGTCATCCTATGATTCAACTAGGTACTACTAATTGAATGTTTGTTTCATTAAAGCCAAGAATTAGTGAATAATATTGTTGAATCATTACAAGTTCAAATAAATTTAATAATAAATTACAGTTGTTCTAATAGTTGCTTCTGATTAATATTTTCTATTTTTCAAATTCGATGTTTATCTTTATTGTTATTATACAAAAACATTTTTCCACCTGTTCTCTCTCTCAGCCAAGCCCAATGACATTCAGTTAACTTCAGAGGTGTAGAATTACATCAATCGATTAAAATTAAATACCTATAAGTCCTCTTGGATTCAAAAATGTCTTGGTCAACACCAATCAATGAGATGATTTCTTAAGGAGAGGGCAAATTGCATTTAAAAATAAATCTAGGAGGTATAATATAGGTTGCGATCCAAGATATAATGTTTGCATGTAATTCTTATGTGCAGCCAGCAATGGAATATAGATTTTACAAATCCAACACTAAATAAACTAAAACTTGAGCAAAATAAAGCCTTTAAATTGATTCTAGGAACACTTTGTTTAACCTATGTAAAGGTGATGTAGATACACCGCTTGTACTATGTTCACCTCACCTTGCCTGTATGTGAGGTTTCTTAGAATTGACCCTTTATTCTGGAAAAAGTAAAATATCTCTTCCCAAAGACTAAAGAAACAACATTTCAAGCTGTAAATGCAGAACATAGTCTTGATTTTGGGAAGAGGGTGCATTTTATTCCACTTTATATTTATGCCAGGAACATCAACATACTGGTCAATCTAAAGCTTACACAGTCTGTAACAAAAAAAGATTCACCACCAAAAATTTAAAATATGTGATATTAAAGACAATACATCAGTGATAATCTTGAGGTTGTTGGATGCACATTTATACCAACAATTCAGCAAATGTCATAACTCCCAATGTTGGAGCTGAAATTGATGTAGACCAATTCCAAATAAGTAAGACAAAAAGCATGTGTGGTTCATCTTTTGATGGAGAAGTGAATGCAATTTTCCTAACTACATAAGCATTAAAGACCATACATACTAAAAACCTTATACTCCTAGATTCACAAGCACCAATATTGCCCGTAACCATTGAAAAAAACTGATCATCTCTTACTATACTCTTACTCTTACTTGCTTTCAAATACCTGTAAATTCAAAGGGTGTGAATACCATTATATAATGGATATCGAGTCGATGTCAATATACAGAGCTGGTGTAGAAAGTAAAAGAAAGGTTCTCTATTGGATCAGCCAGATCTACCTTTTTATTCTTCCCTTTCTCGCCATATGGGGTTTCTACCAAGCTGAGAGAGCGGTGGAATTATACCAGAGTTAAAATTCTCCTCCTCCCTTCACCGGTCACTGCCATTTTAACTTATAATATTTGGATTATAAGGTTGCTGGACAACGTGTATTTTACAAATGCGTCAGCCTGCTTGGCCTGTATGATAAAGACAATTTCTATAATTGAGGCACAAAAAAAAATAATGCGAAGACAGCGGAGAAAAGATACAAATATTCTTTATAATATAATACACCAAGAAATACACAGTGCCATGTTTCACAATCCTTATAAGACACGACTATTTGCTGGCAATTTTTTACAAAACAAAGGCAAAAAGAAAAAAACCGCACCCACTCGGCAACAATTGGGACATGGATGATGACCATAGTCTTATGTCTAATAAGCTTTTACTTGCCATAAATTTTTTTTTTTTATAATTTAGCCCTGATTTTTATGGCTTTTCACTGAAATTATAATGGACCGGTTACCTGCCCTATATAAATTGTACTTCTTTTTTTTCCAAAATATGTATTAAATTTATTCTGTTTCAGGTTGACTATAGCTTTTTTTTCTATATCCGGTTTAGATGTGCTTGATGCATTAGATGAAATAAAGGATTCTAAAGAAAATATCTGCAATTGGATTTATAGTTTACAAATTTTACCAGATGCAGGTTTGTTAAATAATGAGTAATTTCTTTGGACTTCAAGAAGCACTTTCAATATTAATTTTATTTTATTGATAGATGGTAATATGGATAGATGTGGTTTTCAAGGAAGTGATACTTTCACTATACGTGTAGATGACAGCGTTCAATCTTGTAATAAACAGTTTACAAGTGGTCATCTTGCTATGACTTATACTGGTCTAGCCTCACTTTTGATATTAGGTGATGATTTATCGAGAGTCAACAGAAAGGCTATAATTAAAGGTGTAAGAAGCCTGCAACAAGATGATGGAAGGTATTTAAATACAAGTTACTAATGTTATTTATTATTTCAACATATTTTGTTTATTAATTCAAGCCTTGGCCCTAAAATCATGTCTAAAACTCCAACTTTTATCCAAAGGGAAAAAACTTTCCTTAACATGGTGGTCACTTTTAAGGTAAGGGAAAAGCTAAGTAAGTAATGTTTAACTTCATCTTTGATATAGAATCCCTAATTCTCAATATAATTATTATCTGAAGTTTGGTTACATTCTCAATATTCAAATCCCGTAAGTCTTAATTTCCTATTTCAATCTGTATTAGAATTTTTATGATCTTCAGTTTCCACCATTGGTTATAATGGTCCAAATAAATTTGATGTGTTTATATAGTTATATGTATTTATTAATATATTTTTCAAATTACATAAGTAATTTGTTTTTAAATGATTGTTATTCAATTAATGGATAATTTTTCTCCCACTTTAAGAAATACATGATGCATCACTTTTCTTTTTGTTTTTATTTTATTATATTATATTTATAATAACTATGTATGTTCTTCATGATTTTTTATTTATATGCTCTAATAGTATACTCGAATCTGAGATGGTCAAATGGAATGGTTGTAATTGAAAACTGGAAAGCAATTGCCTAAGATAGGTAGAGATGGAGAACACTGGTTAAGGTGGCAAAATGTCTAAAAGTTCTGTAAAGACTACAGAAAAAAAATAACAGTAATATTATTTTTGACATAGTTAACAGGTAGCAGTTGATAACAAGATCACATTGAGCACACTAGATTGAATCTCGAGGAAAGTCGAAAGTATTCAACTATTATTAATCTTGTTCACATGCAATGATAGAAGTGCCATCTCTTACTAATAATGTCTAGATTGGATTGTATCAGAGATAAATATAATCATAATTCATTATGATTATTATTAAGATAAACTAAACACGATTACTTAATTACTCAAATGGTAAAAAAAAAAATTACAGAGCTAAAATTATTATAGTGCTGTTAACATCTTCGCTGCCAACTGTGAGTTTTCTTGTAGGTTGAAGTTATCTCATAGGCACCAGCTAAGAGTTGATTGATAGAATGTTTTGTTTTACTTACGCCACATATGATCAAACTTGTACTATATTCATGTTCTTTGAAGGTTGGGCGTGGGGGAACCGTTTTTAAAAAATGTCATCCGGTTGTAAACATGTTAATAAAGATCCTCTTTAATATTGATTAACGTATCATTTGTCATGAATATATTTTTATTTATTTATTTTTTATTTAGTTTCTGTGCAACACAAATGGGAAGTGAAAATGACATGAGATTTGTCTACTGTGCTGCCGTAATATGTTATATTCTTCAAGATTGGTCTGGAATGGACACTGAGAAGACAATTGAATATATCATGAGAAGCATGGTAATAACAGATAACACAGTTAAACATATTTATTAATCTTGAAGTAATAATAGATTTTGTAAATATATATGGCATTTTGTAGTCTTATGACTACGGTTTTGGTCAAGGACCCGAACTTGAATCGCATGGTGGTGTAACATACTGTGCTGTTGCAGTACTTTCTTTGATGGGCAAACTTCACAGTGTCCTCAATGTAAAACAGGTGATTATTTTATTTTTATTGTTTTATTTATAGTGTTATTATTTTCATAAAATGCTTATTCTTATAATTAATTCTCATTTATCCCTGTTCAGACACGAAATTTAATATTATTTCAGGCAGTTTTCGTTAACAATAACTACGTAATTTAACTATCAACTGATCATTTTTATCTATGAATTACAATTAAAATATACAGACACAAGTATAATTAATACTTGAGAAAAGAATATGACTTTGTTACTGATTAAGAGCCTTCTTCATTCAGAATTTACTATGACTGAAATCACTTACTGGACAATTTACTCTCTTATTGATCATAGACAAACGAATTACTCTGTGTATGAAAATATTTTCTTATATGATAGTGTACGATCTCTCTAGATTAGTCCAGACTGAACTCGAATTTCATTGCCATCTAGACCTTTTCGAATAACTTTCACTATTATTAACCAAAAATAAATGTTAGAAGTAAACAACTATAAAACCACTATTCATTCATGTTTACCCATTCTGGATAATCAATACTATTCTATTCCCAAAACTAAGATATTCTACCTAGTATAAAATTTAATTATTATTCATATTAAAGGGTTTGAAAAAAAAATTATGATGATTTATTTAATAATGTGATGAGATTAAGTTGCCATTTTATAACTCCTGTAAATTCAAAATATTTATTCTCTTTAGGAAGAGAATAAATATAGAATATAGATATAAATAAAGGTCATTGCTTACAAAAAGAAATAATTTTGAAAAATATAAATTTTATTATCAATTCACAACATGACAAGTACCAGTTACTGCGGCAATTGAGTCTATTAGACCTAGTAATATTATTTGCCTACTTTTTATAAGAAATAAAAAATTTAATATCATCTATTAAATATACAGAGTATCCATAGAAAGGAAAAAATCTACAAAACTTTCACTTATCACCCTCTTCTTAGCAGAAATAAGTATTTTCAGACAAAGGGGAAGTGAAAGTAAAAATTATTGATTTATTAAACGCTTTATTGATTTATGTTTCATTGCGGGTATATTTATTTGTTTAAGTACCGTTATATATTGTAACATCTCTCTTATATTATACTTTAATACTATTGGGATACCTCCTAAATAGATAAGAGGTTATTAAATAATAAACAAAATTATAAGAATATATTTATTTATCTCAGGTGTGGGTTACTGACAATCAAATCGAAACATTCACACAAACGAATATTAACTATACTAAACACTGTTGGCAAGCTAACTTTTTTCTATAAATACTGTTTCTTCATTTGTTGCAATAAATTCATTTGTCTTCTTTCAGCCAATCTTCTGCTAAAACACAACTTCCAAAACGGTAATACTTTCTTTTACTCAACTCAACCTCACTGGGAAATTCTCTCTCTTGTTATTCCTAACAACTAGTCTCTCTGCAAAATAACAACTTCCAAGGTGGTAATACTATTACTGAGTTTTTCCCACTGGAGCCAGGATCACTTCTTCTATCCTCTCTCCACTGCAACCACACAACAACTGCTTGCCAAATCAAAAATCTTTGTCCCTCTCCTCTTTGGGATTTTCCTTCGTGGGAAACTACAGAGCTGCCATTTTCTTTTCCCTGCACTAGTAGAACTAGATCAGCTTGTCTTTTAATTGTTCAATATTAATTTATTAAAACCTTTTTACTCGCTTCCAATGAAGATGTACATCACAATATATACAAATTTTAATATTTATATCAATGTAATCTATACAAGTAAATATTAAATAATACCAACGAAAAAATTTATGAAAACCGCAGTTGTATATGTTGTCGGAATCTTTATATATTAAGCTCGTGTTATGAATGAAAGCCTGTTCTAATCTTTAGGCGAGCTCGGGAACGCTCGTGTTCCTTTGGTTCCTTCATTAAAACTATTCCCTGTTACAATCTCTTATTTCTCCTTTAGTTAATTATCAAATTCTTTCATATTTTATATTTAACTACTTTTTTATATCAGAGATCAATGTGAAATGGTTAATTGCTTCAAATAAAAAAAAATAAAGGTACTTACTAGGAAGCTAATATTGAAAATTAGCCATTTAAGCCCTGTTAGAGAACAATAATGAGAATTAAACCTCTATAATATTAAAAACTGCTTAATTTTACACTGATATAATGAATTTAATTAAAATTGTTATAGTTGTTTTCGAGAAAATCGTAAAAATTTGTTACATCGATGATATAAAGTGCCACTTCTGGTTAGCCGATTTTGACGAAAAAGTTGCTGTAACATCCCAGACACATAAAAACCTTAAATATGAAATTTCCCTTTTGTACAACTTTTCGTTGTTGAGCTAGACTTATACACACAGACACACGCACAGACCATTTTGCGGGACTTGGTTATTTGTACTCAGAGGATCTCAAAAAGTGTATTTCTGTGGAAAACTGAGATTCGAAAACTTTTATGATCTCAATACTTTCCCTTACTATATATTTCATATATAGGTAAGTGAAAGTAAAAATGGGAAAACTTTAGTTTAGTTTATGTTGTATTATGTTAGGTGTTTGTTGATATAAACATTGTCCCTAATTGTTCAATTTATTTACTTTTCATGAATTTTTCACTTTTGATAGCTGGAAGGTCTAAAGAGGTGGGTACTGATGCGACAGGTGACAGGTTTCCAAGGCAGGGCTAATAAACAAGAAGATACCTGCTACTCTTTCTGGGTCGGTGCCACGATACAGGTAGGTTTAATAAATTAGTCCGAAATTGTTATTATTGGACACTTGTGAATTATTTTAGTTTATTTTGAGAATGAAAGTTGCTACTGATCTCTTTTAAAAATAATTTAAGTTTATTTAGATACCCTTGTATAATATAATATAAGTGAATGTTTAATATTATATAACTTAATAATAAATAGCCTGAGTAGCGTAGATCAATGAGAAATCCATAGAAACTTGCAATGCCTACTATAGAATAAATGTATTTTTTATCTATACATAAATTAATTAAGTCAGTGTTAATCTTTATATTTTTGGGGCCAGTATAGCAGAGTGGTTAGCGCGCTATACTAGTAAAGTAAAGATCATAGGATCGAATCCCTGCCCTACTTCCCAATACGGCTGGTCCCCGCGGGAAGTTAGACCATTACCCTCTTAATCGGGGAGGCCTACAGGTGTAATACTTGTAAAAACAGGCTATACAAAAAAAAAAAAAAAAAAAAAATCTTTATATTTACATCAACTATGTGAGATCTTGATTTAAATTTTTTTTTTTTTTATAAATTACTATAGTTATATGTCCTGATCCAAAGGTAGGGGGATCGAGACCTGGATGCTGAATTTGAATTGGATGGAGTCTAAATTAGCATAGATAAATTTAAATTAGAATATTTTAATGAAAGTGAAAGAAAAAGAGAAAACAAGTATATTATTACTGAGAAGGGAAGAGGTGGAGGGGAGAGTGCATGCTAAAACTGTTATAAACAGTAGTGTTAATTTGTTAGTATTGAATTTGATAGAAATTATACTTATTAAGCATTACATGGAGCTGCTGATGAAGTCTGGTTGTGGATGATTTTAGTTTCCACTAGCTACTGATATGTATTATTTTTTATTTGTATAATTATTTTAATATGTGCATTACAATATTAGTTAAGATTCATGTGCCATCAATCACTATAGTTTATTATTTATAATTAGCTGTCTTATACTATTATATCTCTGATTGTAATTTAAAAAAAAAACATTTTCAGTCCTGAAGATGACCCACATGTTAGGGTTGAAACGTTGGTAAAAATAAAAAATTTTAAAAAAGACTGCGTCCTGAATATTTATCACCCATTATTATATATATATATATATATATATATATATATATATATATATATATATATATATATATCAGTAGCTAGTGGAAACTAAAATCATCCACAACCAGACTTCATCAGCATCTCCATGTAATGCTTGTATATATATATATCTTGATGAGTATTGTATGGCTGTCATCTTTACTGTTCCTCATAGGCCACTCCTCACACCATAGGTCTAGGCTAGACAGCATCTTTTTCCCTGACTCACATAAAGCGCTGTTTCCATCTGCTGCTCTTAAAACAGATTGTCTAGGTCCCCGAGGATTCAGTAGTTTTTGTTATGTCCCCTATACTGCTAAGAGATGTGTCCACGATGCCAAGAGTTTGTGATGCTGTAGTTTTACATTTAATGTACCTATCATTAATCGACTTTACAGTAGTTGTTATATATTTGCAAGGAACAGGACCAATAAAGCAGTACAGTGATAAAAAAAAATAAATCTTGGAAGGAATTTGGAAAAACTTGAACCTGGGTCATAGTGAAAAAAAAAAAAAAAAAAAAAAAAATGAAAAATATTAAGAATAAGTATGGAAAAATGGTCTCTGAAGTTCTTAGACTAAGACCCAAAAGGAGTTTTCAGGCTTAATAGACAGGAAGGAGTCTTGGTGTTTTAATGTAGCTAGAAGAGTCAAATAAGGTGATAGTTTAAGCTCCTTGTTATTCATGCTATATATGGAAAAAATAACGGGAATCTGCAGTAGTTAACAACACATAACACCTGGAAGATTTATTTTTAACACCATTGATGATTAAATAAGGAGCGGGGTAGCTCAGTGGTGGGGCACTAAGCTTCCAATGCTCAAGGTCCCAGGTTCGAATCCCAGCTCATGGCAGAAAAATTATTTATTCTGTTTCATTGGCCGTGGGGCGACACTGGGGTAGGGAGACCCTCCTGGGGCACACCCAGCCTCTACAAAGTGGGTACCCTTAATTAAATAATTGATTGAGGGGGAAAACCTGGTGGTTGAGCGTGAACCTGGTCCGATCCCCTCCCTGCACAATCATTGGTCTTGAAACAGTACTTTCCCTAAATAGTACTGAACCCATAACCCTTCATTTTGATGGTTACATAACGTTCTATAATTCGAACTAGACCAGTTCCTCTCTTTATAATTAAAAATTTACCTAGTAATTATATTTTATATGGAGCTGTTTATAAGCACATATATATTTTCAAAAATATATTAAAAACTCTTAATAAATCGATTTCTTTATAATTCAAACTTGTTGATAACTGAAAGTCTCGATAATTCAAATTTTTCTTGTGGTCCCTTGTGTTTCGAATTATCAAAACATGACTAGATTTATGTGTTTTCTTTTTAAAACATCAACACTACTGAATCATTGAAATATTCATTTACCAAAACTATATCTCTCAACCTTCAACTTTGTGAAACATATTTTTTTTTTTTTTTGTAAAATCAAATTCAGTTACTATTTGTTTGAACATAATTAGGAGAAAAGGAACATAATTAGGATTTTTAACACACCTTTGCTACTTAGTGATATAAATATTTTTTATATTATATTTATATTCTAAAATAGAAGTATTTTAGATGTTGGAGATCTTCGATATGATAGATTTTGCTGAAAATAGGGCATACATTATGACAACCCAAGATAGTCTGACTGGAGGATTCGCCAAATGGGAAGATTACATTCCTGATCCCCTTCATACATATTTAGGTTAGTAAATTATTTTATAAATTTAAAAATAAATTTTATTATCTTTATAATTTAAAATAAATTATATTATCTCATGCCTGTGTAAAACAGGCGTTGCCTGGCAACCTGGTCAACTGAAGTCACATGATAAAATAATTACAAGTTCGCTTTTAAGATTGCCAGTAGGAGGAAGAGCTTTTAACTCTAGCATTGATTCTCTGCTCTCTCCCCTGGTCCGGTGAAATTGCTTAAAGTCTGAAAGGTGAGGAAGGGGAGAAATAAATAAAAAAGATACTACTTGTTAAAAAGAGTTTAGCAAAAACAGACATATATACAATTTCGTCTTTCAACTTAACAGTGATGTCTTTCGTTAAAATATCATCTCTGGTTCTTCGGGTCACTTTTTCCCCTCTTTCATTTATACAACTTTTACCATCATCCTTCTTCCCTTAGGTATATGTATTTTTACGCAATAAACAACTTTCTCTTACATCTCTACTTTGAATTGAAATTATTTTCTGGCAATGTTGAGCAATTATAAAATTTTTAAAGTGCATTTTCAATGGCACTATAGCTTAAAGCTTACAGCTAACATATCATTAAGACTACTAAAATAACAAAAATCCTATTACTTATATCAATGGTAGACAGTAGAAACTTCGGTACTCCATTTATACTAATTGTATCCGTTTACTAAAATGAAATTATGATGAGACTTCCATTGCCTGCCATAGATAGATCAAAAGTTCTTATACTTTTAAGTGAATAATGTTTGGATTTCACAAACGGAAAATTCATCAAATTATGCACTAATTTAATTTTTTAAAAGGTTACATGATGATTTTTTGGAATAAAAGGACGTTGATATCTAATTATTTAAATATAATAGCAGATTTAGAATTATTAAACTACAATTAATGTATTTAAGGTTATAAACATATGCTTTATACATCCATGAAATAGTTTTTTAAACAATGCCATTGCCTGGATTTGGTGTATGGATTTTAAATGCTTTTTTTTTCAACCTTAAAAACAGTATATATTTAGTTAGTAAATTTCTTTGAAAACATGTGATTTTCATTAAATAATATTAATTTTGACAAATTATTATTTATAATTTTGTGTCACTCTCCATTACTTTCTACGACTTTTTTATATTAGATATTGTTTTTTCTAAAATTCTCCGCTTTCCAAGATATATTATACATATAACTTCTGACTAATATTCCTGGAAATTCATTTTCGACCTATATAAACATTTTTCCTTTTTTATCCATTTTTCAATTATCCAATTGACACACAGACTATTTTGCGGGCTTGGTTATGTAGACTCAGGGGACCTCAAAACGTGTATTTCCATTGAAAACTCAGATTCGAAAATTTTCACGATTGTAATACTTTCTCTTACTATATATTACATGTATTGGTAAGTGAAAGTAATATATGTATGCTTTTTTTTTTGTTAAATTTTATTTTTTATTTTTCCAGGTCTTAGTGGTCTAAGTTTAATGAAAGAAAAAGGACTCCTAGAAATAGACCCTGCATTGAACATTACACAGAGAGCAGCGAGGTATTTAAAAAAAATTCAAGGAACCTGGGAATGATGCAAGATACATTCTTATAATTAATATACTCGTATCATATCTAAAATTTACTGCCATGAAAAAAAAAAAATTAAGACAAGTGAATGTCATAACAGGAAAAAAATTTCCTCTGTTGTCATTATAATCTTATTTATTCTTATCAAAAAATGGAGTTAAAGCCAATTTGCCTTAAGAATAATTTGTTTCGCCTATGAGTTATCGAGACAATAAAAGTACTATTGCACAAAAAATTAGCAGGCATTTTATAAAAGGAATTTCAATACATTGATTCTTTATTGTTAATTTTTAAAACATGGTCAAAACTCAATATGTTTTGCTTGAAGGGTTATCAATTTCAGAAAGTTTAGAATATTTTCAGGAATATAACTTATGAAGGTTGAGTCCATTGACTATTGAATTTAAACTGGTGATTTTCTTAAAAACCTTTTTCTATTTATATCTATAATACAAATTTATATTTAAATAATTTCAATTTATATCACATACATTTCTAGGGCTTGAGGCAAGAATATTACAAACAACATGATATTAATTTTTCAATATGAGAATTTCTAACTTTTGGAAAATTCTATAATTCTTATCGAATATTTTACACAGTTCATATTTCATAATATTGTAGGTAAATTTTTCAAAATATGTTGAAATTTCACTATTATTTGAAGAAGAAAAAAAATGTTTTTTATCAAAAAGTCGTCCATTTTGTCACTTTTTCGCACAATAAGAAATTTAAACTTTATTGAAGAGGATTTTAAAAATAAAAATGTTTTTTATAAATAAAGGTTTTTCTTTATCAGAGATTACACAACTTTATAATTTTCTATTATGTTTCCTCAACAGTAGTTAGTTTAAAAAAAAAACTTAATGTTTTGCAACATTTTTTTCTAAATTAATTCAACTTCTTTGTTAAGATTTTTATTCACAGTTAATTCTCATTTATTAAAAACAATCATTAAATGAGTTGCTGGGTGGTTAAACTCAAAGAGTTTTGGCTATATTTTAATTCACTTGTTAACCTTTTATAATGAAAAAGCATCATAAATTATTCGCTTTGAAAACATTTTATAACAGTTTATTGTGATTAAAGTTTGTGGCAGTATTAGAAAAGTTATTCATATCATATAATATATATATATATATATTTAAACTTTAGTAAAATTAAGAAAATATTTTGTCTAGAAGTCGTTATGTAATGTACATTCTGTAAATAAGATGAATTTTAAGTTGTCAGTGTTTTGTTTGCACTTTTTAATTGATTTCATCTGTTTTTATGTATGTTCGCTTGTTACTATTTTATGATTAGGCCTTGAAGCATTCGTGATAGTTAGTTGTTAAGTAATTAGGTAAATTTGTAAACGATGCGGCCTTGGGACCATCACATTTTTGTTTTCATATATGCATCCTTCTTATCTAGTGAAATTTGAAGTATCTTATTTCTGTTCATTTGGTAAGAATGAGTGTTCATATTCGTCTGTTATACAATATTTCCATTTTTTAATCAGTGCATATCCATTTTACTATTGCTGTTAAAAGTGAAATATGACCAAAATATGAAATTTATGTTGTTAATTTTTGTAGTTCTGTTCACTTTTGGCCTAGTCTTCTCAGAACTTTTAATGAAGGGTATTGGATTCACTACTTGGTTAAAAAGTACTGTTTCTTTGTCAGCTGTTGTAAAATCTGGTTATTTGACTGAAATCACACTCAATTGCCAGGTTTTCCCCCTTAATTAATTATTTAATTAAAGGTACCCCAGAGAAGTTTCACAGCCCACAACACAAAAAAAAAAAATTTATCTGCCTTCAATCACGTTGAACATATAATCTTGAGCATTGGAAGTTAGTGCCACTGAGCTACCCCACTCTCTAATCGATCCTGGGTTCAGCAGACCCTCCCAGCCTCTATAATGCGGGTACTCTTAATTAAGAAGAAAAATCTTGAGCGTAATCCTGGCCCTGAAGCAGTACTTCCTTTCAAAGTACTGAACCCAAATCTCTTCATGAATAAATATAAGGAAGTTAATATATTAGTCCGTGGTATAGATCCCTTTTTTCTAATTATTAACATCTGCCTGAAACTTCGTAAATAGTTTCATCTCATCGTAACCTGCAACTACTTTTTTTTGTGAAAACACCCCTAGGAGGCAAACTTTATCTATTTAATTAGGTACTAAGATCTAGTAAATACCCATTTGCTTTCTACTTGAATCGTAGGATAATTTTATTACAAAATCAATAAATAAGGCGACTTACAAAAATATTGGGCCGTTTTTCCCATATAACCTCGTTATATTGAAAATTAGTGGCTATAGGTCACGCCAAACGGCTCTATGTTTTTGAAGTCCACCTTTTTTCCCGATTTTGTGATCAAATTATCTTATGTTCCCAATAGAAAGCAAATGGGTATTTACGAGTTTTTAGTACCTAATTAAATAGAAAAAGTTTGACTCCCTCCAGATTGAAAATGCCCCAATTCCAAGAGTTTTCATAAATAAAATTGTTGTAGGTTACGATGAGATGAAACTATTTATGAAGTTTCAGGCGAATGTTAATCGTTCGATAAAAGAGGTCTGTATTTTGGACTATATCACCAATGATCATTAAAACAGAACTATTTTTATATGTTGAAAAAGTGGATAAAAAAAAACCAACAGTTATTTCTCCACATTCATATTTCTTATTGTTCATAAAAACAAAATATACATGAAGTAATTAATACTCTTACTGCTAATATTTTCGATCTGACCAACACCTAATTTTGATTAGAATAATTGATGATTCTTAAGAAAGATTCTTCAAAATTCACTCCTGATGTAATTGTAATTTCAGTGTTTTATCATTAATTTTATTTTTGAAGTTCCTTATAATAAATAATGGATATGATCAGTTAGTCTAAAAAAAAAAAAAAAATTAATGTTACAACTTTGTTGATAATTTCTTTCTATTAATTTAGTTTATGCTAGTGATACATATTAAAGCTAATGTATAAATTCCTTTAGATGTGGATATAGAGTTGAATGTTAAAATTATGAGGATAACAAATAAACAGGATATGGAGATTTTATTTGTCATGCGGAGGTTTTGAATCTAGCAACAAGAACTATTTCTTCTTGTTCTTAGTCCCTTCGTTGTTTTTAAACTAGCCAACAACCAATGCATTGGTGATTGATTACCTACTTGCTTATGTCGAAATATTATCAAGCCTAATAAATCATATAAAGTCTGCATATCGTGATTATTTGTTATTTTTATAATTTATTTTACAAATTGTGTTTTGAAGAATATCATTGTTGGTTAAATTGAAGATGAAATCCTTTTTTATTTTATACAAATTTTCATTTTTGTTTAATTTTTTTGTGAATTTAATATTATTTAAATGTTTTATTGGTTCAGGATTAGCCAACTTCTCATGATAATTTCTTAGTTAATTTTTATTCCTGTTACAAAGCCAGTTCCACAGCTTCATAGATAGATAAAACCTAGGGAATTGTAGAGACTATTTTTTTGTCGGTTTATTGCAAGAAGCCATTCAGTGACATTTCACAACCTCAATTAATTAAGGTTTTTGATCAATTTTTTTCCCTGATTTTCCCTTTGTGAAATCAGAAAGTTATACAATTAGTGTAACTATATACGATAAATAAAAGAGTGTTGCATCATTTACTTGTCCTTATGTTGTTTTTTTATCAGTAAATAAGATAAAAATTAACAAAAACAAAAGTTAACCTATATCAATAATGTACTTAGTGACTTTTTGCAATAAATATTGGAGATTTAATTATATAAAAAAAATTAATAATAATTTCTCTTTATTTTTTTACTAAACATCAAATATCAAAACAAATGTAGTGTAAGAAAGGAAAAGTGATGACTATCTGTCATTTTAATTTGTTGAAAGTGGTAAAGCGATGTTTTACATATACAAATATCAAGCTGCACATCGATGGTTAAAAATGATACCTCGTAACTGCCAAAAAATAAAAAGATTTCCTGTTTTGATGCCATTAATATCATGATAATATACCCCATGAACCCTGATGAGTCATCATATTTTTAGGCGATACTAAAATGATTGATAAGAAGTATATCTAATATCTATTACTTGATGAGTTATCAGCTGTTCTGATGATGACTCATATTGATATACAGTCGAGAAATTGAAAAATATTATTATATTTTGATATGCCTCATTAAAAAAAAAAACTGTAATATTTTAAGATTTTTATTGTTTTTTAGGGCATTTTTTATCCCTTATGTAAAGTATTCTTTTTGCAGACAAGAGGTATCAGTTCTTCATCATCGATATGTTCTCAAAGTATTTTAAATTTTTTCTTTTTTCCATTATGAATACTTGTGTAATTTTTGAGAGATATTGAGAATTGTACTTAAAGCAAACTAACAAATCTTATTACCGAAAGATGACATTTTTCTCCCACGACTCTTTAATTAAATTTTATTTTTTAGAACCTGAGGAGTCAAGTTAAGATAATACAAACAGATTTAGTTACCATTGTTATATAAGAAATTTTAGTAATTCGAGAAAATAATTTGCAAAAAAACTAGACAACTAATGACAAATAAGTTGATCTTGATTCGTTATAAATCCTGACTAAAATAAAATTATAATGAATTTTTTTTTAAATTTGTATCAATTAATCTGCCGTTAGAGTAGGCTGGTTTTTCATCTTTCTAGTCTTTATAATTAATTAACATAGTATATTTGCCTAGCTTCTATCTCGAAGTTACATATGTTTTCATTTTTATATTCTTGCTTTACTAGTTACTGTCTAAAACTTATGTTTCTTGATTTAAAGGATCATTTTCATGTTAAAAATAATGCATTTAATCAATAATTTTTAGAGATGGATATTTGGTTGACTGTTGAAATAATTAGGATATGCAGTTCATATTTATTAAGTTTGCTGACGGTTCAGCCTAATCATAAATATTGACTGCATATTCTGATTAATTTTCATCTTTTCAATAATTTTTACTTCTTTTATTTTATTAATTAAAACTTATACTTCCTATTCAAAAGTATCATTAAAAAAAAAATCAAATATTGATTATTAACTTAAATTCAAATTTTAGAACTAACCGCAGTATATAGTTCTCTTATTTTTATTTGTTGGTATATGTTTCTATTTTGCTGGACTGATAGTAAGATATGCACAATATATTGTTAAGATACAAGCACTAATTTTACATATATAGTTTTTAATGAATATTCGTATTTTTATGTTTATGTTAGTATGATAGATTTCTGTTGATTTAGAAAATATTTTTAATTGTTGAAATTAATTTTCTCAAATGACCTACTGTTTTAAAATGAAAAATTGTTATACTGTTGTTGATATGTTTAATGATTTATTTAATTGAGTAATCACCTCGCCTATTATTATTATTTTCTTTGTTTTTCCTAATATATTTTTAATCAAAATAACTATGGTCGTTTACCAGCAACTATTCGCATTTTTGACCATTTATCTTAATATTGCAGAGTTTACTTCGCAGTTTAATGTATGCCAGTGCTAGTTTTAAACACAGCTGTTAGAAAATAAGTATTCGATGGTGGTACTGGAAAACTTCAGTGTTTAAGCTTTGAAG